CGTCAGCCGGGGAGCAACGCGGGTGCGTGCGGGCGGCAGCGGCAGCCCCGGGTGAGGGCGCCGGGGGGCGCCGTCCCTGCGAGGTGGGCGGGCTGCCGGCCCCCGGGAGGCTGGGGTCTCCCCGGAGCCCCGCGGCCTGGGGTCCCCGGCGCGGGCTGCGGAGCCTGGGGGTGCAGTCCGGGCGCCGGGGCGCTCCGCTGGGCGGGCTGCGGTGCTGCTGTGGGCGCGCCCCGGGGGGTTCGTTCCGCGCTTTGCCCTCGTCCAGGTGCCGGGCGGGCGCCCTGGCCTCCGGGGACCCCCCTTCCTGCGCTCGGGTCCCGGGGAGACACCCGCCCGCGGGCGCCGCTGACCTTAGCCCGCCCGGCGGGGCCTGGAGACGTGGCAGAGCCTGTGCGGAGGCCCTGCCTCCCTGGGCAGGATTTCGGCGGCTCCCGCCTCGGCTGGTCCACACACGGGCGCCGGGGGAGGAAGTAGTTTATTTTTCCGCAGGTCCCGGGTCAGCGCCTCACGCCGCTCCGGGGCTTGGTCCTCTGCTCTTGGTTAGCTCCTGGGACCTACTTCCCGCCTGTATCCCACATCGGCAGGATTTATATCCAAGAGAGTTTCTGTCCTTCAGAGGAGTCTTCAGAGACACCGTGCACATTTCTGTGAACCTGGCACATGTGGGCATCCCGGTCTTCCTAATGTCAGCCGCTATTTTAATTCAGGGAACATTTGTGGACGTTTAGTTGGGGGATCGGAGCTGAGAATGCAAAGACAGGAGGAAACTCAGACCCTGCTCAGGCGCTCACTCGTTGGTATAGTAGAGACCAACCAGCCCTTGCACCTGTAATGCATCAACAATAATTGGCTTTTAGTGCTGTTACGGTTATCAAAGCTCCAGTATGCCATTGATTTTTTTTTTTTTTTGTATCCGTATAAGTAGCCATCCACTTCAATGTCGATACATAAATATTCCTGTTTGTGCCCAGGGTGGAGCACTAGAACCTTTAACCGCTCTTGGCACTTCACTGTTATTTTACCACAATAGCTTTTCTTTAGTAGTAGAAGGTTATTACATGTATGTAGGCAAAGTTTACCCAATATTGTCACTAAGCTGGTTCTCAAAGAGTAAAGCTTTGTAAAGGCTGAACTAAATGGACTAGTCATTATTCCATCCTACGGGTTGTAGTCATTGTGCAAGTTCTTATACCGACACATTTGTTCATGTTGGGGATGAGGGTCGTCTTTACGTTTGACTTCCACTAGCCATTGTAAGGGTTCGGTGGTGTCTGTAGTAGGACAGGAATGGCTAATAGGAAAATGGGAAGCTGAAGAAGAGAGAGCTTTGGGAAGAGACGTGCATATTTGCCTCCCACTCCTCAGTCCAATTCAGACCGACTTCTACCCCATTTCTTCCATGGAAATGGCTCTCACGGCATCATCTCCCATTAACAAATCCATTGAACTCTAGTTACCATCCTCTTTGTTTCTGCAGATTTTAATACTGTTGCCTGTTTCTACCTTGGAACACACTGGCTGTTGGACACCACAGTCTTCCTGGTTTTCTTCCTATCTTTCTGGTCATCTCTTGTTCTTCTCTGTACCCTTGTCTTCTACCTGGCTCCTCTTCAGTGATCGATTGGGTCATATTCTCTTTTCACTTGGTATTCTCTTAATCATCTCAGAACATGACTTTAGAGACCAGGTAAAATAAAGGAACCTACACTTACATGGTTTCTAAGCTACAAACCAAGTCATTGCCTTTCGTTTGATGTTTCAAGGGACTTAAAATCCAGCATGCCCAACATAAACACTACATAAACCTAACCTACATAACGAAAAGGTATCAAGCAGATACCTCTTCCATTGTTCCCTACGTGAACGATACCCATCTCTGTCCAGTTGTGCAAGGCACGTATCTCCCCGTCATTGCCCCATATCCAGTCCATCACCACCACCTAAACATTTCTTAAATCCACTCTTCTCTAGCTCCACTATCACCACTTTACCATAGGCCAGAGGTTTTCAGCCTTGGCATTATTGATATTTGGAGCCAAGTAATTTTTTTTCTTGTGGGGGCTGTCCTGTGTGTTGTAGGATTTTTCGCAGAACCCAGCCTTTCTCTACTGGATTCCAGTAGTACCTTTCTAGTTCTGACAACCAAGAGTGTCAGAATCACCTTCTTCCCCACCTCCCTAGGTGTCCAGGGTATTCCTGTTTGAACTACTTCTGTATCCTTTTTTTTTTTTTTTTTTAAATATATTTTATTGATTTTGTACAGAGAGGAAGGGAGAGAGAGAGTTAGACCAGCTGCCTCTTGCACACCCCCTACTGGGGATATGCCCTCAACCAAGGTACATGCCCTTGACCGGAATCGAACCCGGGTCCTTCAGTCCCCAAGCCGACGCTCTATCCATTGAGCCAAATCGGTTTCGGCCACTTCTGTATCCTTCTTAATGGTCTCTCTGCATTTACTCTGACTGTCCTGTGGCCCAATTTGCATACTGTCATCAAAAGAATTTTCTCAGCACAAATATGAATTGTCAAACGCTGGAATCAGTCTAAATGTTTTTCAAGAGATAAATGGATAAAGCTAGTACATCTATAAAACGGAGCACTATTTGGCAGTAAAAAAAAAAAAGAACTAACTATTGATACATCCAGCAACTTGATGGATTTTAAGAGCATTATGCCGAGTGGAAAAAGCCAGTCTCAAAGTGTGATATGCTGCGTGCGATTCTATTGGTGTAATATTCACAAAATGAGAAAATGTTTTGTCAGGACTTATGGTTGGTGGAAACATGTGATAGGATGTGACCCGGGGGTGACAGAATAGTTCTGTATCTTGGTTGTGTTGGCATTTATGATGCAACTTCATAGAACTATACACACACACACACACACACACACACACACACACACGTGCACAAATATAAAAACAGGTGAAATCCAAATAAGGTCTATAGTTTGATTATTAGTATTGTACCAACGTTAATTTCCTAGGTTTTATAATTGTACTAGAATTATATAAGACGAAATTATTGGGAGGAGTTGGGTTGAGCTCTGTTTTATTTTTGCATCTTCTTGTGAATTAAAATTTCTTAAAAATGTTAAAAGACAACAATGTCACATCCAGCTGATCGATGGATGTTTCTTTCTCATCGATGTTTCTACCCATCCCTCTCCCTCTAAAAATTAATTTTAAAAAACATTTTTAACAAAATAAAACACTAATTAATTTTTTAAAATATTTTAAAAAAAGCCTCAATTTCTTAACCTGGCTTATAAGGTTCAACCTGGCATGAACTCCTATGTCTCCAGTCCTCATTCTTTTCTGTTTCGTGCCACATGGGATTTCTTGAATGTGCCTTGTTCCCTCCACTTTATTAGAGTCTTTATACTTCCTATACATTCACTTTCTTTTTGTCTTAATTAAATTCTGCACATTCTTCAGAACCTGGGGAAACCCTTTCTTGACCTTCAGGTCAAAATCCTCTTCCTGTCATACAAACTGTTTTACACCCAGAGCACACGCCTCAGTCTACAATTCTTTGTACATGGGTATTATTCTTCGATTATCTCCTGGACTGTAAGTATCCAGTTTTTGCATCCATTGTTTTTCCAGAGGCACCAGTACAATGCTTGGCAAGTAGTTGATCTTTCGTGAAGGATAACTGAGTAAAAACATAAACAGATTTGGTGTATTTAGAAGTTTTGAGTTTATGCTGGAAACAGGCTTGAAATTTTGTAATTTTTCCATATTTTGTCATCATTATCATCTGTTAGGATTCTGGTATCTAGTGAAATTTTTGCTATAGTTAACCTTTTCTAAAACCCTGACATATCATTTAGCCATTAATATGAGGAAATCAAGAATTGAGCAATTTTTTTTTCAATGTTAACAGGAGTAGCCCACATACAATGCTTTATTGGGAGAGAAGAAGTGTTTCAAAAATACTGATTTTTATTTTAAATGTAATACTGCCTGGAACCCAACTGGTTTGGCTTAGTGGGTAGAGTTCTTGGGTTTGATGCTGGCCAAGGGCACATGCCTGGGTTGCAGACTCTATCCCCAGTGTGGGGTGTGCAAGAGGCACTGATCAATGATTCCCATCATTGATGTTTCCATCTCCCTATCCCTTTAGGAAATCAGTTTAAAAAAAAAAAAAAAAGATTTAAAATAAATAAAATGCATGCATGTGATAGAAAGTAAATGAGTAATTTACTATTTGAAATATATTGGATGAGTAATTATAGTTAACATAAAATCATAATGATTCATTACTTAGTTAACATAAAATTATTTCCTAGTAATAAGTATGTCACAGATTGCCTATTTAACATTCTCCCATACTGTGTTTTGTTTTTAGAAATTTTGACAGACCCTTCATCTGGAAATAAGTTAGTGATTATTCTTTTGTTTTTGGTATATTTATTTTTTTTATTATCTTTGTTGTTGAAAGTATTACAGATGAACAAACAACAAGTGCTGGCAAGAATGTGGAGAAAAGGGAACCCTCGTGTACCGTTGGTGGGAATGCACACTGGTACAACCACTGTGGAAAACAGTGTGGAGTTTCCTCAAAAAATTTAAAAATGGAATTGCTATTTGACCCAGTGATCCCACTTCTAGGAATATATCCTAAGAAGCCTGAAACACCCATCTGAAAGATTATTCTTTTTTTAAAAAAAATACTTTAATTGATTTTTTACAGAGAGGAAAGGAGAGAGAGAGAGCGCTAGAAATGTCGATGAGAGAGAAACATCGACCAGCTGCCTCCTGCACACCCTCCACCGGGGATGTGCCTGCAACCAACATACATGCCCCTGACCGGAATCGAACCTGGGACCTTTCAGTCCGCAGACCGACGCTCTACCACTGAGCCAAACCGGTTTCGGCTGAAAGATTATCCTTTAAAATTATTCTCTGACTATACAAGCTATAAAAAATGCTTTGACTACTGTGTAATACTTATTACATCTCTATAATTTTGCAGTATATCATAATTGAAAGAAAAATGATGGAAGAGAGTGGAATAGAGACAACACCGCCTGGAACTCCTCCACCGAATTCTGCGGCAGGACTGGCTGCCACGGCTGCTGCTGCTGCCACGGCTGCCGCCGCCGCCGCGATGTGTTCCTCCCCCGTTCCGTTAGGTACGTGGCGTGGTCGGCATACAGCGTGTTTTAAGGATGGTGAAGAGACTTCTCTTTTCTGTGACAATTTTAAAAATGCATATATTAGAACTTATTTTACTTATGGGAGTTGGAAGTCGTATTTGTTGTATATTTTAAATTACACATTTTTTAAATCTTGGGATGTGGTCTGTTATATTTAAACATTTTGCAAGAAAAAAAGTCTTGAAAACTAAGTGAAAGTGTTTCCAATTTTGTCTTTTTTTTTTTTTCTTCTCTTCCCTTTTTCCTAGCTGCAACCAGTTCTTTTTCTTCTCCAAATGTATCTTCTGTTCAGTCCCTGCCACCACACTTATCCTCTACCCCTCAGCCGTCCCTTCCTCCTGTGAGGCCTTCCGCATCACTGCCTTTCGTGCCTCCTTCACCAGTTCCGTCTGCTCCACCGCTTGTTACCGCTGTACCACCTCCTGTGTCTCCACCGACCGCTGCCGCCTTCAGTAACCCTCCTCTACCCCACTTCCCAACTTCACCTTCCGCCCCGAGTACTCTCCCATCTGCGCCCCCTTCCAGTCCTCCCACGTCAGGGTTTTCTGTTGGATCGGCGTATGACATCACAAGGGGACATGCAGGAAGAGCTCCCCAGACACCCCTGATGCCGTCATTTTCTGCACCTCCAGTAACGGGTAAACCTCTCATACTCATACTTTGAAATAGTGGTTATAGCTAATGTTTTGTTTTTCAAATGATAATAAGATAAAATTTGCATACTGTGTAATTCATTAATGTATTTGCAGAATTATGCAGCCGTCACCACAATTTTAGAACTTTTTAATCACCCCCAAAAGAAACTGCGTAACTATTTGCAGTCACTCCCTACTTCCTCACAAATCCTCACAACTCTAAGCAACCACTAATCTACTTTCTCTCTCTCTGAGTTTGCCTATTTTGGGCATTTTATGTAAATGGAATCTTATAATATGCAGCCTTTTGTAACTGGCTTTTTCACTTGGCGTACTTTCAAGGTGCATCCATGTAGCATATGTCAATACTTCATTCCTTTTTATGGCTGTGTAATATGCCCTTGAATGCATAACCATAATTTGTTATTCAGTTCATCAGTGGTGGTTTCTACTTTTCTGGCTATTATGAATACCTCTTCTGTTAATATTTGTGCACAAGTTTTTGTGTGGACATATTTTCATTTATCTTGGATATGTACGTAGGCATGGAATTGCTGACTTGAAAAACCACCAGATTATTTTCCAAAGCAACTCTCTTACTAGCCATGTATAAGGGTTCCAGTTTCTCTGCATTAATGTTTTAAACTCATTTCTTGGACTTTCAGAGTTTTCTATTCTCATGGTTTTTTTTGCTACTTAAATTATTAAAATAAAGCTGATGTAACTTCGTATATGATCTTTATATGTTGTAAACTTAGTAGTACATACATGATTAGTATATGGACTGTGCTCTAATATTTGTGCACTTACCGAGAAACATCAAGGTGAAATTTAAGAATTTTTCAAAATTTTACTTAAAAAATTATCAGGACTGAATGGTCCAAGGAGTAGTTTTATTTAGCCTGGTAAAAATTTAAAACCAAATAAAAGCTTCTATGGGCTGTAAATTGGTGGTATTGGGTCATTTCCTTTTCTAGGACAGCTATATCTTCTATTGGCCTCTCTGGAATGATTGTTAGAAACCAGTATTAAAACTTTGTCCTTGTTATTTTCTGCCTATCAATTCTCGTTTTAGGAAAGGGAACAACTTTGCTATAATTTTTATTATCCAATTTTGCATATCAACCTTTACAAATAAATATTTTTGCAGAGTAAAAGTATTATACCCATGTTTATGTATATGTGAATTTTTTAATTAAAGTAGGGTATAGAGATACGTGTACTAATTGTTATATGCTTTTATGTGATGGGCTTGGGTACTTACACCAGTGATTTTAAGAGATTAGAACTATACTGATCACATCCAAGTGCTAAATAGAGTAAATGTGAAGTAATTTTTTGTTGTTGTTTTTAATCCTCACCTGAGGATATTTTTTTTTTTATTGCTTTTCATAGAGAGTGGAAGGGAGGGAGGGGGAGAGAGTGAGAGAGGGAAACATCGATGTGAGAGAGACATATCAGCTTGTTGCCCTCCCATATGCTCCTAACCAAGAGTGGTGAGTGAATCTGAAACCCAGGTATGTGCCCTTGGCCAGGAATCCAACCTGTGACCCTTCTGGGCATGGGCTGGCACTCTTAATCACTGGCCAGAGCATGAAGTACTTTTTGATGGTTATTTTTTGTCCATTTTCAGGACAGTTGGTGTAAGCCTATGAAAAAAGGAAATTTGTTTTTTTGAATTTTGTTTCATTTGTATTAATATTTTATAAAATAGTTTCAGGTGATTCTTTGCATTCATAACTCTATCTTGAAATGCCTGAGTGTACAGACACATTATTTAAGCTGTTTTAAACTGCTCATCTCATATATTGCATCTTCTTTTTATAGGAAATGGTTTATGGAATAAATTACATATGTTACGCATTTTTGCCATAACTAGGTATTTTGCCAGCCCCCATTACTCAGCAAGCCAGTTTGACATCTCTGGCTCCGGGAACTGAAACCACGTCAGCTATTACTTTCCCAGAGGAACAAGAAGATCCAAGAATTGTTAGAGATCAGGATGAAGCATCTGGTAGTGGAATCTGGGGTTTTATCAAGGTGAGCTCTATTTACTTTAAAAATCATGCTTAACTTTTATGAAACTAATAGGCATTCATTAGAGAGAATTTTGAAAATACAAAATGGTATAAGGAAAAAATGGTTTTTATTCTCTTTACTATAGTTTTCTATAGTTCCTCTGTATTTTGTTTGTGCATATCTATGTGGATGTTAATCTCTTTTTAAATAAAAATCAAATTGGGGAGTGGCATGTGGAGATGTCTTTAGTTTATCTTTACCTATGGTATATCAGGAATATCTTCCTAGCCATAGCATATCTTGAGAAATGTTTTCTTTCTGGCTGCTTTGCCCTATATGCCATTGCATTTATTTTCCATATTTATTTTGCTAATGTGATTTGGCATTTTCTAATTGTAATTCTTATCAGTAAAGCTATGATGAGTGCTCTTATATGCAGATCTTTGTGTTCATCTGTTTCATCAGGATTAATTCCCAATGTATGTGCAAATGAACACTATCTTTAAATATATATATTTTATTGATTTTTTACAGAGAGGATTTTTTACAGAGAGGAAGGTGCACAGAGAGTTAGAAACATTGATCAGCTGCCCTCCTGCACACCCCCACTGGGGATGTGCCTGCAACCAAGGCACATGCCCTTAACCTGAATCGAACCTGGCACCCTTCAGTCCGCAGGCCAACACTCTATCCACTGAGCCAAACTAGTTTGGGCAACAAGTGAACACTAAAAATTACTGATACATATTGCTGTCCAAGAAGGTTATTCCAAAATAGACAAAGCATTTGTCACTTTGCAAGCAGTGATTAATTATCTTGAAGTACAATATTTTCTAATTTGAAAAGCAAAAAAATTCCTGGTTTTAATTTGCATTTCTTTGTTACTGAATTTGAACTTTTTTTCAGACTTATTTGCAATTTATAGTTTTCTTTTGTGAAGTCTCTACATTCTTTGCTCAATTTTGAATTGGGATGATTTTCTTTTTCTTTTCCTTTCTTTTTTAATATATTTTATTGATTTTCCACAGAGAGGAAGGGAGAGGGAAAGAGAGCCAGAAACGTCAATGAGAGAGAAACATTGACCAGCTGCCTCCCACACACTGCCCACCGGGGATGTGCCCGCAACCAATGTACATGCCCTTGACCGGAATTGAACCTGAGACCTCTCAGTCCGCAGACCAACGCTCTATTCACTGAGCCAAACCAGTTTCGGCAGGGAATGATTTTTTTTAATTCATAAGATCTGATAGTGTAGTAAGAATATGTTTTTTGACACAAAAGTTTCTAAATTTTTCAGGACTCATTTCTATCAGGCTTCTTTTTTTTCATTTTTTTTTTTCATGATAAAAATGACTTTTTCCACTATTAATATATGATGCTTTTCTTTGGTTTCTTCTTAATTCTTTTTTCTTTTTACACTTGCCAATTTAATGTAGCTATACCTATTTTATTATATGGCATAGAAGTCAATTTTAATTTTTTTTCAACCACTTAATTGACTATTCCAACATAATCTCTCAGAGATTTGACATGTCACCTTTATCTGTTACTGAATTGCTGGTTAGTATCAGCTTCTGGGCTCTGCATTCTGTTCCACTGCTCTGCCTGACCTTGCAATAGTTCTACATTTCTTCAGTTATTGTAATATTCATTGAAAGCCTACTCCGTGCTGAGCTGGGGATGGCAGAGGATTCATTGATGAGTGAGGGAAGTCAGTTCAGGTCTCTGCATTCATAAAGATACATGAGTATTTGGTTGTATAAGTTTGCTGATTTCTCTTTTCATTAAAAAAATTTTTTTTCTGCCGATACTGGTTTGGCTCAGTGGATAGAGCATCGGCCTAGGGACCGAAAGGTCCCGGGTTCAATTCCGATCAAGGGCATGTACATTGGTTGCAGGCACATCCCCAATAGGGGGTGTGTAAGAGGCAGCTGATAGATGATTTTCATCGATGTTTCTAACTCTCTATCCCTCTCTCTTCCTCTCTGTAAAAAAAATTCAATAAAATGCTTTTTTTAAAATTTTTTTTCTTTTCTATTTTTTCTATTTATTTTTCTTGGTGAAATTTGGAATTGCTTCATCAAGTACCCCTCCCCCAATCCCTCTAGTCCCCCACTGATATTCTGCTAGTGGCTTGGTTGCAGTTCAGTTGTATATTAAACATTTCTAGGTGTTAGTATATGTTGGTTGACTTTCTGCATTTTTCATGTTTCATGAAGATGGTGTTTTTCTACTGCTTTTTAAAGGCTTTCTTTATATAAGGACTATCACTTTTTTTTTAACTTTTTAAAAATATATTTCTTTATTGATTTTAGAGTGGAAGGGAGGAGAGAGAGAGAGAGAAACATCAATGATGAGAATCATTGATGGCTGCCTCCTGCACACCCCCTACTGGGGATTGAACCTGCAACCCAGGCATGTGCCCTTGGCCAGAATCAAACCTGGGACCCTTCATTCCGCAGGCTCTTTCTATCCACTGAGCCAAGCTGGCCAGGGCATTGTGAAAAGCATGTCATTATGTCAGTTATCAGTTGAATACCCAGTTTAACTCTCCAGGTTTTATGACTAACTTCTGATGTTCAGCATAAGGTTGGTTGACAGTCTTAAATGTCACTGTTAACAAATTCATCGTTTTTTTCTGAATCACCTTAGTTTAATGTAGGTTAGAAGGGGTGGAATCATGGTTGTTAGCCAGATGCCATCTTGAGTCGTTGCTCTCTCAGGAATCTTTTATCCTGGGAGAAGTATAGCACAGGAAGGAGGCGTTTGGACCTGGCTCCTCATTTCTAATACACGGTTTTAAGAATCAGATGGGGGCAAGGCCTATCGAGGGATTACTTTGTAAGTTATATAAAGATCTGTTCACTATGCTGCAGACCTGAAACTAATGTAATATTGAGTGTTGATTCTAATTGGAAAAAAACCACACAATCCAGAGGCCTGGCTTAAAAGTGAGAATTTGGGTATGAACAAAACAAGAAACAGGACCTAGGACAAAGAAGAGACTCTGGTGAAACATAGCAGAATATTTTATAATAAAGTATCAGGTAGCTGCTTTGGGGAATAGATACGTAAATGTTTTCACTATTTTTTTTTTTTTTATTAGGGAACTAAGTATGGGTCTATGGAGACATCTGATTACAAACTTTATTTGGGACCTTGATGGACAAGTTTTGCCTAGTCTTTTAGATAAATAAATGAAATAACAAATACATAGAAATTAAGTATATATGCATGCACACATATGTAGATACAATATACATATGTCCCAGACCAGTGCTACTAAAGTGTGGTTTGCAGTCTGTTGTGGGTCTGTGATAGATAAGAGAAATTGAGAGTAAGCATTTTGAAATTTAATAGCAATTTAACATTGATATAACCTTGTTGTTGTTTTTTTTATATATTTTACAAAGTACAGGTCTGTGATGCATTGTAAACCTAAAAAAATAATTAACAGGTGATCATTGTTTTCTTTGCTTAGAATGGGTATTTATATGTTAATTTGTTTTATGCAGGGCGTAGCTGGGAATCCTATGGTGAAAACTGTGCTTGATAAAACAAAACATTCTGTAGAAAGCATGATTACAACGCTGGACCCCGGCATGGCTCCATATATCAGTATGTACTTAAGATAGACTAGCATCTGCCATATATTTTAAAAGTATGTGCTAATGTCAGCCATTAATTGGAAATCCATAGGTCTTATAATCGTTAGAAATACTCTTAATATCCTCTTAATAGACTTATATTGTCAAATCTTAGTCTTGGTGTTTTTAATTCAAAATGCATTTAATGGTGATAAAGAGAAGAAACTCCTCAGAATAAACTTCGGAGGAGTAAAATCATATGAATTACTAGTGTGCATACTGACTGATTTTAAGTGTAAATGTAGCTAGTCACTTGCTTTATTTGACTTTTACTTTATATTTGAAGTAATGCTTTGTTTATATTTGGTTTTGACATTTCTTCAGTTATGTATTTTAAATAAGTATATTTATGTTTAACTCAGTAACATTTTTAGAGGAAGTTAATCTATTAATAATACTGTAGATTACTGGGTTTGTTGTGAAAGCTGTTTTATTCATTTTTGAATCTTCATTACTAAGAATCCTCCAGACAGTTGACATAGACACACAGTATGCCCTTTAATTCTTAATGTACATATCCAGTATGTGAAAAAATATAATCATTTAGCAATATCAGTGACCAATTCTGATATTGGTCTGTTTAAGGTAACTTACAAGCCAAAGCTGTGTACCAGGTATCTGAATATGGATTCTTAATGGCAACAAAAAATCAGTAGTTTTAATGAGTCTTGACTATGTTTGTAGTTTACTATGTAGTAAATGTCAAAGAAGTACCATTTATTAAATGCTTGCTCTGCCAGGCACTGATTCTCCCGAGAGCTCTGCAGTTAGGTATTATTTTCCTTAGGTTTTAGATGAGGAACCTGGGTTCAGAGTGATTTAAGTTATCCTAGGTCATACAGCTTGGATATATGATTCAACCCATATTCAATTTTTGACAACTAGCCACTTTGCTTCCCTTTAGTCAGGAATTAAATCAGCTTAATTATTTTTAGAGTTTATATCTGCTAAAGGACTTAGAAATCAGGCCCTATCATGCATATTGATTTTACATATTCATAATAATTAAGTTTGACAATGAACACATGATAGTCTACTATTTTTGGAGCTCTTGCTGTTTTAATGGGTACTATATTAGACTGTGAAAGCCATTATTTTATGTATTCTTAGAGCAAGTCCTGTGAGGTGATAGGTACTTTCCTATAAAACAAGATCAGTGACTTCTGCAAGATAATGAAGCTCGAAAATGATAGTTAGGAGTATAATCCAAGACCATTTCTCAAGCCAGTAGTCTGCATGTCATCAAGAAAAAGCAAAAAACAGAAAACAAAAAAACCCTCAACGGTGGAGGAAGAGATACAAAGTTTATATTATTAGATAACAACATATAATCTTAATCGGCTTTAAAAAGTAATACTGAGTGTGGAAAAGCTAACAATGTCTTGACAGCAAAAGCAAGACCATTCTTACCTAATAAAACAGTGAATCAATATTTTTACTCAGATATTCTAGAATTCATTTAATAATTTTAAATGTATCAAATAGGCACAAGAGCTGTTAGAAACGCTCTAATATATTTTAACACAGTTTAACTTTCCACACTAAGTGAAAGCTTAGTGGAGTAGTCCTCAGCTAGAGTCAAGAGAGATGTCTCATATGGAAGGAAAAAAATGAGGAAAAAATGTTTCCTCTTCCCTCCTATGAGCTATTGCGTTTAGGTCTTAATAATAATGTCTAATAAAAAAAAGGCGGGGGGATCCGTAATAAAAAAAAAAACTCAGAAATTTATAAAGTATTTTCAGCTGTCCCAGAAGATATTAGGAAAACCATAGCATCGTTTCTGGCAAAATATTTTACAATATAGATGGCTTTCTTGAGAAATCTCTTACCAGTGATAGCCTAATGCCAAGTAGCAAAGTATGCTTTGCTTAGAACCAGGCCTTTGAATTCTGTGTATCACGAAATGTCAGATCAAGATCTTCTTAAGTAATTAGTCACATCTGATTCAATTACTCTAAATAGTACACAGGTTTTAAGTAATTGCAATATTAAAATTTTTAAAAAATTAATTTCATACTGCTTTTAGTCTTTTTAAATTTCAGGTTTCATAAAAATTGGCATTTCATTTTTTAAATATATGCTTGCATATTTGTATTGGGTCAGTAATAAATGTATAATTTATAAATACCCATTTGTGGTATTTTTTTTTTTCAGTCATGGAGCTGTATAATAAAATTTCAACTCCCATATTTTAAACTATTTTCTAGATAAAAAGCATATTTCATGGTAGTCCTTGTTTAGTGCAGAAATTCTGTGCAAGTCTTTGACAGGTTATATCAGTTAATAGTCATTTTCTGTGCATAGTGTCCCAAATATGTGGCAGTTTCACAAGTCACATATTTAATTCCTCTGATCGCTGAAGGATTGGCAACTACGGCTTCCAAAAGGTGTTAGAATTTTGTGTATAATAGCTATGTCTCTAGTAATTACCTGTAGAAAAACCATTTTGATTTACAGCCTTTAAGATGCAATAAATATGTCTAAAATTTAATCAGAAAATGAAACTAAATTAGTAGAGCAGTATAACAGAAAATGTTTTCATAATGGCCCTAACATCATTTCTCAAATAGATGTCTATGGAACATCTTTTAAGAGCTGTTATTAGATGCTAAAAAAGTGTTCCATGAACAAATTAAGCGTGGAAGTACTGGGTTATAATTACAGTCATGATTTTTAATTGTTGGATTTCTCAGAAATCTTTATGCTAATGTACCTTATAAATTTCCAACAAAGAAATACGGTGCAGCATCTCCCAAGCTATTTGACTATCAATATATCACGCTGTCATCAGGGAGAGCTATAATACGTTCTGGAACAGTAGTTCATAGGATTCAGAACTTGCCAAAGGTGGTTATTTCTGGTTAGAGTGTGGTGCTGTGTTCGTGGCAGATATGATAATCAGAACCATTAGAAGGTATGTGCCATCCTCTGCTTGCAGATAGATTCCCTTAGATAATACATTAGTTCTCATTTTTAAAACTAAGGAAAATTTGGTAGTTCTGTGCTAAGCTCTTGTTGGAATAAGATGCCTATCTTGCATTGTTCTGTGAGCTTAGTAATTATGCAAAAGAAATGTCAACTTATGGTAATTTTGAGAATTTCATTATTTTATTTTGGAATTGAAATTTCCTGCTGTTGTTTGTAGAATCCGGAGGTGAACTGGACATTGTAGTGACCTCGAATAAAGAAGTGAAAGTGGCTGCTGTCCGAGATGCCTTCCAGGAGGTCTTCGGCTTGGCTGTGGTTATGGGGGAAGCTGTTCAGTCCAATATTGCCCCACAGCCAGTGGGCTATGCAGCTGGATTAAAAGTGAGTAATAGAAGGAAGACCTTCTCGGTATAGAAACTAGCAGTAATCGCTTCATAATTCTGGGAATAATCCTGTGGTCTGTATGGAGCTAATTGGTTTTTACATAATGAAATGATCAGCTTGGTTTTAATTAGACAACTCTGTAGTGTTACCGTATGAAGATATAGTGGACTTTTAAAAAAACCTAAGGTAGGTTTTTAATTGGGGGAGGGAGTACACACATGCAGAGAGCACAAAAAGAAATAAGAAGTCCTAACAAAGGTACTCTTAACCCAACGTTAACATCAAAATCAATTACTACAGAGATAACAGCCCTCGAATCCCATAAGCTTTTTTATTACATACTAGTAAGTGTAAAGTATTATTAATAATGATAGTATTTCTTCAGGGTTAGGAGCCTCTAATCGCAGCATTTTGTCAACCAATTAATAAGTAACTGTTTTATGTTTGCTCTGTTTAAATACACTTAATGTATATATTTTATTCATTAACATTAAACTCTCAGTTAACAGCACTAAATTCATGCCTGGATGAGGCTATTCTAACACATACTTTCTCCATAAGGTACATCAGTCTTCTTTGCTTAGGAACACTAGACAGCACTTCCACATTATACCTAGAGCCATTTTAAAACAGCAAAAACACCAAAAAAGGCACAACTGAAAAATATAGCACTATATAATTTTATTGAAAAGCCAGCCATAGTTATGACCATTGTTGAATAAGTAATACAGGGTGGGGCAAAGTAAAAGTAGTTTTACAGTTTATTCTTGTATTATTTTCCATATGAACAATGTAAATCTACTTTTGCCCCACCCTGTATATTATAAACACAGATGTAGTTAATACCTACAAGCATTTATTTAGAACAGTGGTTCTCAACCTTTCTAATGCCGCGGACCTTTAATAACAGTTCCTCATGTTGTGGTGACCCCCAACCATAACATTATTTTCGTTGCTACTTCATAACTGTAATTTTGCTACTGTTATGATCGTAATGTAAGTATCTGTGTTTTCCGATGGTCTTAGGTTAAGACCCACAAGTTGAGAACAACTGCTGTAAAGCCTAAGACCATCGGAAAACACAGAATTAATCCCTTAACCTCATTTACTATTAAGCTCTGCTATCTATAATAAAAATAGATATTTAACTATGGCTAATTTTATTTAGAAATAAGTTTTTATCTTGCTCTTAACACATCACTCATAATCACTATGAGGTGATTCAGATAAAAGTAGTAAACAGCAACCTTGTTTTCAGTGGTCCAGTTTTTAGTTTTCTGTAAGAAGATTATTTAATTCATGACCTTAATTTATCTGCATAGTGTTTGTAGCCCCTCAATTTTGTTTCATTAATGGTGATAATATTCCTGAATAAAACTTAAAACTGTCACGTTAAGGTTATATTTAAAGATAATCAGAAGAATGAACATTTTTACTATTGATACAATAGCCTACTTAGAGAAAATTTGAGAGAATCAACTAAAAATCTGAGATTGATTTAAAAAAAAAATTATTCTGTGGGAGGGCTCCTTGCCAGGTTAACATTAAAAAAATAGTTTTCTTATATTAGTAAATAACCATTTAGAACATAGAATGTCTAATCCATTTTATAGTAGCAACCAAAACAATAATACAAATTGGAAACTACTGAGAGGAACATCATTAGACTTTTTCATCTTTTGTCTTCTATATTGTGTGAATGAGTGTGTGAGCTTGCATAAATGTATGCATATATTGCTTATATAATCATAAGTTAGTATACTTAGTAATGAATTTGAAATGGTTTCTAACCTACACTTTTATTCAGGGTGCCCAGGAACGGATAGATACCTTACGTCGAACTGGAGTGATCCATGAGAAGCAGATTGCTGTGTCAGTAGAAAACTTTATTGCAGAATTGCTTCCTGACAAGTAAGAGTCTTCTTGTTTTTTCTTGTAATGAGAACTCTTAAGATCTTTCTTAGGAGCTTTCAGATATACAATACAGTATTAATTGTAGTCACCATTGTTGTACATTATATTCCCATGACTTATTTTATAACTTGAAGTTTGTACCTTTTGATCCCCTTCACCCAGCCTCTAGCAAGCACCAATCTGCTCATCGTATGTTGTGTTCTGTTTTTTTAAATTTGTTTTTAGATTCCATATATGTCAAATCATACAATATTTGTCTTTCTGTTCCCTTAGCATAGTAGACCTTGTCATAAATGGCAAGACGTCCTTTTTTATGGCTGAATTATATTCCAGTGTCTGTACCACATTTTGCTCATTTATCCTTCAGTGGACACTTAACGTTGCTTCCATGCCTGGGCTCTTTTAAATAATGTTGCAGTGAACATAGGGGTACAATTTTTTTTTTTATAAATACTCAGAAATAGATTGCTGGATCATATATTTTTCATTTTTGGGACACGTCCATACTGTTTTCCATAGTAGCTGTACCAATTTATATGCCTACCAACAGTTTGTAACTGTTCCCCCTTTTCTCTATATCCTTGCCAAAGGTTGTTATTTCTTGCCTTTTTTATAAAAGCCATTTCAACAGGTATGAGGTGATTACATATGGTTTGGGTTTGCATTTTCTGGATGATTAGTGATGATAGGCCATCTCATAGTTTTATGATTCTGCTTAATTAAAATGTTGGTGGTGTTATAGTTGACTTCACTTTAAGTCAACTTACAAGTATCTTTTTTTTAATACATTTTATTGGTTTTCTTACAGAGAGGAAGGGAGAGGGGTAGAGAGTTAGAAACATCAGAGAGGAAGGGAGAGGGGTAGAGAGTTAGAAACATCAATCAGCTGCCTCCTGCACAACCCCTCCTGGGGATGTGCCCCCAACCAAGGTAAATGCCCTTGACCAGAATCAACCTGGGACCCTTGAGTCTGCAGGTCAACGCTCTCTATCCACTGAGCCAAACCTGTTAGGGCACAAATACCTTTTAAATGGTGAAGGATTTATCAGAAATGAGAAAAGGATTTGTTATTCCCTGTGAGCTTATTTTTTAATTTGCTAGTAACTTTTTCAGTTGGCTGTACAGACAAAATGTTCCATATTTTTTCAAGTGGCATTAAAAATATTAGGCATGGTAAACTATTTGCAAATTCAAATGAGTAAATTTGGTGCATTATTTGACCTTGATCAGTAGAGATCGCCGTTTTTCCCTGGAGCAGGGAGTGAAGTGGAGAGATTAGTAGGAAGACAGGGAGGAGAACCGAAAGTTTCCTTAGCCAGCAGCACTAATAGTGAAAGAAATAGAAGAGGTTGAGGTTTGGTGGGTATAACAGGTGTTGCAGTTTTAGATTCGAGTTGAAGGGGACATCTAGGTGGACATGTTCAGGACCATGATAGTATCTTAGAGAACAAAGATGACCTTGAATATTCTTCTAATGTGTATTCACTAGCACAACAGTGAATACACAAAACTTCCCGTGATAATTTTCAATTTTTTTTTATTATTATTTTAATCCTCTTGGAATTAAGCCAACAGGGGAATTTTATATATTGTTTTTGTGGATTGTCTTCTTGAAAATTGATTAGAAAAACATTTCCTTTTTGAAGTCTTAATATTTTATCAAAATAATTATACTTTTTATTTAGCACATAACTTGAAACTCATATTCTGTTGCAGATGGTTTGATATTGGCTGTTTGATAGTTGAAGATCCTGTCCATGGCATTCACCTAGAAACATTTACACAAGCCACACCAGTGCCTCTGGAATTTGTACAACAGGTTAGTTTTCTCCACTTTCAGATGCTCCTGGGAAGCTTTTAATACTGTTTCAAAATAATAGTGTGGGCATATTTTTTGTTGGAAATAGCCTTTTAGCTTTTTTTTTTTTCTGTCTTTGAAAAGGTAGTATATATTTATATATTTACTTGCTATTTTCTTCACCCTAAGATGAAAAGAGATTTACCTTTTCTCCTGGTTTTATATTCACCTTTCCTTTATTTTCCCTAATACCTTTGTTTTGATCTTCCTCTTTGGTGGTTAGTAGAAACCTTAGTGAAAGGCATATGTCTTACCTATTCACATAGTTTCTATACTGAGGCATAAATATATAATGATTTTGATTCTGTATTTTAGTTATATTTCATTTTGTTCAAGAAAAAAGTGCATATTTACATTGGAGTCTTTTTACTCTTAAATGACATTTTTGTTGACTTTTTCCTCTCTTCCATTTTATAAAATTTCTACCCCATTTGAACTTTTGCACATTGTCAAATGTCATCTCAAAACTTGTATTTTCTTGGGAGAGAATCTAATGTACGTACTCACATATAAATTGGCAGATGTGTGCATAGAATCCCTGAAAGCAACTTAATAGGCTCTCTTAATAGGTTTACCGCTTAGATGGAGACTAAGAATTGATGCTTGGAATTTTGAAGTTATTGAACCTTTTACTTATACCGTAATTTCTTTTCAGAAGTGCAAGAAAGCATTTTTGTAGATGTTAACATAAACTCCAATATGAAGGTGATTCCAAGCAAATATTATGCATAGTTATAACAATAAATTAGGAAAATTGGACAAAATGGTCGATTTAGTAATTAGGTTTGACCATATGGAATTGCTGTCTTTTAAAAAATCAAATATTGGTAGTTTCATATGATTCAACATTAATCACCTCAATGAAGCTTTCCAAAGTCATCTCAGTAACCTAATACATCTTCATAGCTTCTTAATACTTAGGAAATTACAGGAGTTTTGGGAGCTCTGTCAAAAATTGGGATGAAGACTCTGTATTTCTTATTAGAGTCTACCACTGTGGTCTTCAAACACAAGATACAGTCATGAAAGCTCCCATTCAGTTGTTAATAACTTCTAGTCTTTCATATTTGAAAATGTCTCCCAGGGTGGGGCCTCTCAGGTTCGCAGGCTTCTATTAGCTCTGTTCAGGTTCCCAAAACAAAGGTGATGTCAGCAATATAGGCTTCACCTCTTCAGACACCTGTACAAGCATGCCCCAGAGAATGCGCCATTTGGTTTCAGACCACCACAATGTTTTCTGTGCATATAAAGGTAAACATAATACTGTAGTCTAATAAGTGTGTAATAATATCAGTATGTCTATAAAAAACAGTGCACATATCTTAAAAGTACTCACCATTACCTGAGCCTCTTGGAAAAATCGTGCTGATAGACTTGCTTGATGCAGGATTGCCACAGACCTTAGTTTTTTTGTTTGTTTTTTACAAATTTATCTGCAAAGCAGGAAGTGAAGTGAAATAAAACAAGGCATGCATATATAATGAAGCTAAGAGACACTATCATCTCTTGCACTGAACCTTTTGAGTTGTTAATGTAATATTTGATTTCCCTCATTACATAAACCATTTATTCATTTCTCTTACCCATAGCAACTATTTTCCCTTCTCTCCATTTATTCCCAAACTTTTCTACCTTTGGGAGGAACATTAGGTTTGGCCACTCTGCTGGTCCAGAGAGCAGGCAGCAATACGAATCTAGCAAGTGTGTTTCCCTCCGCCCATATGAGCATCCTTTTAACAGGCTAGGTTCCCATTGCTCTCCCGCCTGACCATAGGGCCAGGCCGCTGCCTATAAATCAGTAAAAACTGAAACATTGGGGATTTTGCCACTGTTCAGTTTTCCCTCACTATTAGGAAAACAGCATGCACTTCAGCCCACCCTGCTGATTTGTTTTTACTTTGAGATGTTGTCTATTTACCTTGGAGCTGCCGTTTGTAAACCAAGGGACGCTTCCAGTGAAGAGCTGTTCATAGGGCCCTATCCATGCAGCAGTTGGTTCCAGCAGCTCCTCAGGTGTCTCTGGAATTGGTCCCACGAGCAAAGAGACTCTGCTTGCATCTCCTAGGCAGTATGATCCTGTGTAATCCACTTCCATAATATTGTATGGAAATAGAACTATGAAAGCTCATTGTTCCGGTCACTGCCATCCCATTAGGGCATTTTTTTCAGCAGCAGCATCAGTGTATGTCCTTCAGTCATAAGTGTAGCTTCAATTAAGAATGTCTAATAACAAGGTAGAAAATACCCGCAAATGGAAATCCTCTGATCCAAAGTCCCAGTAGTCATTGCTGGGAGGCACTCACAGCTTTTTGCCAATAGCCCCAGCCTACATGCCCCATAGGGTTATGACAGGAGATTTTTGCCCCTAACATCACTCTATCTTCTATCCTGTACTGTGTGGGCTGAAGCAGTTGTACCAATTCCCATGTAGCTTGTCTAATTAACAGTGCTTGCAGGGCCGATGTACATGCCTCTGTTTTACGACACTAGATAGATGCTATCCCCAGTGAGACACAGTGTCCGTCCCCAAAGTAGTCAGGTAAAGGAAACAGTGATTTCATGTAAAGCCCATTCAAATATACCAATTTTCCTACAACTCCTATGCTTCTAACTGTATTCTCTGTTAGGATTATAAAACCAAACCCTGTTGATAAAATCCTAAGTAGGGAAAATGTTCTCTAGCAGACAGAATACCTGTTCCCATAAAGCTTCCAGGTAGAGGGACACAGCTTATTTACATACACCTTCTTAAACATTGAGCTTTCAGAATTCTATCTAATATATAGGAGTGTCTTGGAAACCTCTTCACCCTATGACCATTTTATTCACTATTGTCACAAAAGGCTCTATAATGATAAACATTAGAAACTTTGTCATTATAAGGGTGCTTCAGGGGTCAGCAAAAAAAGTGGCCTGCAGCCATATCTGGCATGCCTGCCTGTTTTGTAAAATTTTATTGGAACACACTCCTGCCCATTTATTTACATGCTGCTTTTGTACTTTAGTCATAGAGACCATCCTGCCCACAAAGCTTAGACTTTTCACTATCTGGCCTTTTCAGAAAAAGTTTGCTGACCCCTGTGCTAAATATTGCAGAAGGATAATTTTTATTTTATTTTTAGGAATACTTATTTGTATATACTAATATCAAACTTAGGACATATTGCCAAGTAAAAAAACACTGTATCTAGTATCCATATATTTACATATGCACACATATATACTTTAAAATTATATACACTAATAGAAAACAAAAGGCCTAGATACTTTAAAATTATATACACTAATAGAAAACAAAAGGCCTAGAAAGATACACAACAAGCTGTTGATGTGCTTAACTCTGAAGAATGATAGTGAAAGTGTCTTTTACGTTGCCTTGTTTCTATTGTCATTGTTTAATTTTGTTGTTGTTGTTATGAGGTTCAAAACTAAGATACTAAAGCATGTGTCTTTCTTTTATTCCTGCTCTTCAGCTCTCCCTTACTCTCGGAGTTTTTTACTTAAGGGAATAAAAGTCAGCTCTTTTAGGGATTATAATTACAATCAGCATGCATATTAATGAAGTCTAGAAAAAATTTATACAAATAAATTAGCCCTCTGTCCCCCAATTAAAACTCACATATGTTGGAGTTTCGCTTCTAGGTCAATATCTTGTTTTTAAAAATGTGATCCTAGACCCAGCACCCTAAGTGTCACTGTTAAAATTGCAGTCTCTTGGGCCCTCATCCAGAGAGCCCGAGTCAGGATCTTCAGCTTCACAAGATCCGTGGTGCTTGGTGTACGTGTCACCTGTGAGCAGCACAGTTGTGACAGTGTCTCCGGAGATCTTTGTGATCAATCTGCTACTGCTCTTCTCTGAAACCCAGTGAGATACTGATCATTGCAGTGGGCACTGTGGTAGGGAGGACTGAGCAAGCTCCCCAGTTGCTCAGTCTCCTAAGTGTTGTACTCCTCTGGGAACCTGCTGTGGAGTTTCAAACTAGGGGTCTTAGGTAGAGTATTAAAAAAATGTGGTTTTCTAAAAAAAAAAATTTTTTCTTTTAAAGCATCTCAGGTAATTATAAAACATGTAACTATATTCATCTGGACTCTGCCTAATAACCTAAAACAGAAAATCTTCCTTATTCTTGGATACTCAGCAATGGGCTTATTCTCTCATTTCTGTGTGGGGTGAATATGTAATTTGAGTGGGAACAGATAAAGGTTGGGTCAGGTATTAATGATGCTATCCTGGACTGCATATTATTTTATATGTATTACCTTAGTCACATGAAAATAAAGTTTCTGGGATACTCTTCTACAAATTAATTGAAGTATCCTTTTCTGAATGGATTAAAGTCTAATATGCATGCAGTTTCCTTCTTTCTGGTAGGAATGTCATAACTAAAAAAATGTTTATTTTAGTACTAATTTTACTATGAACCTGAAATGACAATGAATGTAGAAGTAGAATGTAGACCCTCTGACACTGAGCTTTGTTGGATATGGTCATTAGACTTAAGACCTTGACTATATTTTAAACAAATTAGCTGTGTGCAATATCGTGTTCTTTCATAACTTTGGAATTTTATACAGTTGGCAGTATTATCTGTTTCTCAGGATCTATCATTGGTATTAAGAGCAACCTGAGAAACTTTGAAATGTCACTTTCAGCCATTTCCAATGATTTTTTTTAATGTTTAATAATATAAATTTCATTTTTCCATAGGCTCAAAGTCTAACTCCCCAGGACTACAATCTGAGGTGGTCAGGCCTTTTGGTGACAGTTGGTGAAGTCCTGGAAAAGAGTTCAGTAAATGTCAGCCGGACTGACTGGCACCTGGCTTTCACTGGCATGTCACGGCGACAGATGATCTACAGCGCAGCCAAAGCTATGGCGGGCATGTATAAACAGCGCCTGCCCCCCAGGACCGTGTGAGGGGCTTACCTCGATTCTGAGACGGCCTCACCTTGAGCTTGGTGGTACAGAAGACATTTTACTTTCTGAAATTGGATAGCGTCAGTGATCCAGCAGTTTTGGTAATTTTCCCTTTCCCTTTAAAAAGCCATGATGTCATGTCAGCAAATGAAACAGATCCTTTTATGATCATTTAATTACATGTACTATAGTTCTCAAATATGTAAGTATTTTTATAGGACAATTTGATACCAGATTTAGAGTACAAATTCATATGTTAAGAAATTTAACTTGATGTGTACTTGATTATTTTGTTTTTCATAACACAGTTAATGACATGCTCCTTGAATATTCTTTAAAAGCATTGTTTCTTTTAATTCAAGATTAATCTGTCATTTTTTGAAGTTTTTTTGTGTGTGCACATGATCTCAGGTCTGATGCTGAGTGTGTGCTCAACAATTTACCCTAAAAACACCTACCTGTAGAGAGATGGTGCACATTTTGTTTGCATATTTTTAACTTGGGCCAAACAACAGAATGGATCACTTTCTCTTTGGTTATCATGTATACACATAGTGTGAATATTGTTATGTTTTTCTTTTCTTTTTTAAGTTCTGGCATCTTACAGATTTATGCTCTGAACATTAGGGTAATACATTTTACTTTTTGATATGTGACAACTAAATGACAAATTATTGGAGTTTTTAAATGAGAAGCATTTGAGTTATTTTCTTAATACTGCTATTCAGTATTTTCTAGTAAATTCTGACAACAGCCATTGTTTCTGATTCCATTCATGTTTTTCCATTGTAAGAAATTTTGGGAGGGAATCACTTTGTTGTTTATGGGATTGTATGCTTCTTATTTAATTAAGGTTACTTTCGTTTGCCTTAAACACTACTTTGTCGAATTCTGCCTTCACTTTTAATGGAACTTTTCAAAGAAACTTTTATATGCAATCTGGTTTATTTAGTCCATTATGTTGGTACTTAGTGAAAGTTTTTCTTCCAAATATATTTACCATTTTTGTGTTTTATATAAATCAGAATTAAATAGTTTGTCTTACACTTTTAAACTCTATATATGCAAGTTTAAATAACACTTAATATAGTAGTTTCTTATATAAATGTAATTTATTTACTCTTCTATGCAGTTTTTTTAGAGTTAAAAGAATTAGCACAATCTTATAAAGGAGTTAAAGCTCTTATCCCCGCACTGTCATTACTTGTAAGATTTGCTTTGTATTTTTGCAGTTTTTTACATGGGGCTGAGATGAATTAAGTATTCAGTAAAATTCAAGCTGTCATTCAAAGTAATGAGAGAAAAGAGATGAAACCAATTGTGGCAAATAGGGACAGAATACTTTTTTTTCCTCTTTATTGGTATTTATGGAACAGCTCATCTATGTCTTCTCCATCTTTCATGAATAAGAGAAATCTTTCTCTACCATTTGTATTTGTCCTTTATTTTTAAAAGCTCCCTCCTTTTCTAATAGTATTTTATCATGGCATGGCCTGATGACTAATTATGATTATGGATGAAGGAAAGTATTCCTAATTATAAAATACTTTTGCTACTTCCCTTTTATTTACTGGGAAATTTTACAGAAAGTAACTCATTATCTCTCACACCACAGCAGCATCAGTAAGGCAGTCTGCTATTGTTGGTGTTTTGGTGCTTACCAACAATTTAAGACTGCGGCTCCCTTTACCCATCATCCAACTTCCCTCTGTTCTTTCTCTCTCTGCTCATCTTCTTACCTCTCCCACTGTAGCATTTCTTAGAGTTGGACTGGGAGCTGTTGGCTCTTTTCCTCCCTCAAGCTTCTTAGGAAAGAAAACCTGTCTTCCACATGATCCTTGACTGCTATTGTTTTGGTTGAGTTTGTGATTTATTTATTTTTCCTAAAGTGCTCCAGTAACTACTAACTGAATTTTATAAGCTTACACATGTCTTCATTTTAATTAGTGTGAAAGAGAACAGGTAAAACTGCAGAGTAATTTAATATGAACCTCAGTTGACAGAGGTACTCAGATTATTCAAGATCTTCCTGTTACTAAGTTTGTCCAGCAACCCTGGACCTTGAACTGTGCCACAGACTTATAGAGTTAAAAAGTTTTAAGCAATACTAGTGGTTTTCTCTTCTGATCTCTTATTATTACTTCCCCACTCTGTTCCTCTTTCTCTCAAGGATTAATGAGGTAAGAAATTTGAGATAAGTGAATATATACAAAATGGTAGTAGATAGTAAATAGGTAATACATACAGATGAACATGTATTACGTACACCTATTAAAAATTATGCAAATTAGTAACATACTCAGGGTCAACTAAATTACTTTAATATGATGTTGGATTTATTTTATTCCTTGACTAGAAAAAGTTCTTAACAGGAATTCCTGTTCTGTGAAGCCAAACTTTCTGTGTTCTAGATGATGTTGAGTTATGCGTAAATTATTAAGAAACTTAGATTTTTACTCCCAGAATATGGTTTTTAAGATTCTATGCAGGATGATGTATTGGGTAATAATCAATTTTGTAAGTATGTAAATACAACAAATAAATAATACCTCTACTTCCCAGAAGTGTACAGTGATTTTTTTTAAGCTTATGCATATTAATATTATATTAGAAAGGCCCATTTTCCTTTGTCTAAACTGGCTACCAAGAATTCCTATAGAAGAGTAACTTCACCATCTTTCAAGTGGAAACTATAACATTCAGATATCTGAGTTGCTAACTCTGCATTCATAGAACTCACAATATTTAGGGGAGAAGTTAATAGGCCTGTGTTCATGAAGAGACCTGCATCTAATTTATCCTTCACCTTCACAGGTGTCATCTTTAAAACAAAGTTTTAGTTGTTGCTATATTTGCCATTTAGAGCCTAGTAATCCCAGGAGGAGAGATTATTTTTTTGATTTGGCACAGGAAGGGGTATTGTAAAAGACACTGAAATATTGATATGGGGTTTTTGTTAGCAAGAAGAAAAAAAAAAGTGCTGTCAATAGACTAGAAAAACACTAATTGAATGCCCAGGAAAGGCCCTTTTATAGTTACATCTTTTTTTCAGAATTAACTAGAGAAGAAAAAAAGTTTTGGAAAGAAAATTAGCAAGGCCATATGAAGGAGATCTTTTAAGTTGTCAAGAATTTAAAGCAGTAAAAAATATAGAACCTATTTTTGTAGCCAGATCAGCAAAAATATAACACTTTTTGGTGTGCCACAGAATTTTAGTAATGTAGTACTGTATGTGTGAGATGAGAAAGGTTGAAATTGTACTGTAAACCATTCTCTTCCAAAACAGGATAACCTTAAACCATTCTCTTCCAAAACAGGATAACCTAAGTATTTGCTTTAGGAAGTTATGGGTGCATAATCTTATGACTATTGAATTCAGCTTAATTCACATAATAACAGAAGGACTTTGCTCTAGTATACTATTAATTTTATAATATACTAGAGGCCTGGTGCACAAAACCATGCACTTGGCAGGGGTGAGGGGGTAAGACCCCTCAGCCTGGCCTGTGCCTTCTCACAGTCTGGGATCCCTCAGGGGATGTCCAACTGACAGCTTAGGCCCACTCCCCATGTCAAACATCCTTAGTGCAGCTGCAGAGGTGGGAGAGGCTCCTGCTACTGTGCTCACCAGCGATGAGCCTGGCTGCTGGCTGAGCAGCACTCCCAGCACTCCCCTTGTGGGAGTGCACTGACTACCAGAGAGGCAGCCCCTGCATTGAGTGTCTACTCCCTGGTGATCAGTGTGTGTCATAGCAACCAGTTTTTCTGCTGTTAGGTCAGTGTTCGATTTGCATATTAGCCTTTTATTATATAGGATTTTTTTAAGGAAAACTTATTTTTATCCCCTATTTTTTTTTTTAATGTTTTTTACTTTGCTGCTAATATGAGACTATATCTGTGATATTTGAATATTCTCCCAAATTTGGGAAACCATAAACTAGGTTCACCTTTGAGTATAATTTTTAGGATTAAAGCCAGAAATGTTCTAATTGTTAAACCACTCTTCAAGCAAAGCACTTTTAAAGCATTTTGAGAACCACTATTATAATACGCTTCCTGACTCATTCTGCATGTCCTAAGATATTTTAAAGAGAATGATGTCACCAAGATGGTGACAGGTTGTTCCTGACTTTGCTCCCCTGCAAGAAGAGCTAACAGCTATTCAATTATAAGACACCGACTGCTGAGAGAATCCTAGAACATGGGGATGAGGTTGGGCACCTTCCTGCATCAAAGATGAGGACGGACTGTATGTTGACCTCATTGCCATCCCCCCAGGCCAAACTAGTACTATGCCAAGAAGTAAATCCCTGGACCTATGGGTTTCTTTAGTGGGAAAAAGCTCAGGGTAGACATCCAGCTCTCCCGGAGTTGGGGGTCACTTAAGAGCCCCCATTTGTTTCGCTTCCTGAAGATTGCAGAGGAATCTGCACAACTTAACCACTGGGAACCTGTAACAGAGAAATGGGGATGGGCTTACAACAACCAGCATTCGGATCTTGGCATACTGAGTTCCTATCCGCAGCACCTAAGTAGTTATCCAAACCAGTGTCTTTGCTCATCTGCAAAACCAAGCGAGTAGCACAGTCTGACCAGGGAACTTGGCCGGGTGCGGATATGCCTAACCAGCCCTGAAGCCTAATGTGCTCTCATCTAGGCAGGCGAGCTGAGTCATCGTCCAGCTCACTGCTGAGTGTAACTCCTGGCTCCATCTGCACAGAAAAGCAGGCCAGAGTATCCGTTCAATGCTTGAACAGAGTCCAGAGTGAGAATGTACAGTTGATAATGCACAGAACAAAGCCAGTACTGGGTATGGAGTGTTACCCTCTCCACACAGTCAGGGGAGGTAATTCACTTCTCACCAGAAAGTCTGGTCTGGTTGGGAAAACCTGGGAGGCTGCTTGGAGCTGAGAATATCCCTACTCACCATGCACTGAAGCTTCCAGGCCTGTCCAACCAGAAAGCCTGGTGGGACACCTGGAAAGCTAAGTAGCCCATCA